TAGACAGATTCCACCATATGTAATACAATATTTGTTTGATGAAAACTTGATGTATGACCGTAGTACAATCCAGAATGGAATTAACTATAGATCACCATTTCAGATTGTGGACAAATACTTCCAGTTTTATAAATCAATGAAATTCAAACTATTAGGGTACGCTTAAAACTGTAATAATAAATTTGTTACATTTTGCTATACATTACAGGTTTGATTCAACCAAGACATACGGAATGAAAACTCATAGTGATCCACGTGGAATTCATGTGAAACGAGCGTTACAATGGAGCATGGAAGATCAGGCTAAATATCAAACACCTGTGATCAGTAAAAGACAATTCGATTTCAACGAACGTTTTTGTGATAAATTGGGAAAAACAAGAGATCCGTAAGTTACCCGGAAAATGACTTTTGCCGTTGCACAATGTTTTTTCCCTGCTGGAGTGCTCTTCATCCCTGATACTTTTGTAGATTTCTTCTGTTGCGGATTGAGAAAATAAGATCTGGTTTCGGGGAATATTACAAAACAAAGAGTGAGCATAGCTTGTGTGTGATTTCCGGAGATCACCTGATAAAGCTAATTGGGGTAACTTTTCTTTGGCTGCAATGGTTGCAATCCTGGCCTCTGTTGCATGCCTCTTCTTGATGGATGAGTTGTGTTGAAATCTGTCATGTCTAAGAGTCTTGCAATGACGCGCCACTGGACAACCCACGATTCTGTGGTTTCCAGCGAAGAATCTGAAGCCTTTCATGTGCTGCATTTGAGCCCGAACCTTAGCAACCCTGTGTAACTGCTCGACAAAATGTTCNACTGATTACTGATTCATTTGTACTTTACAAGGACGAGCGAGTGTCGTGAGGTACTACTCACATGTGTGAATAGTATGTTTGTCATCCCGGCACTCTATTATAGAGATGTAATACTATTGCAATGAATGAGATGTGCAATGGAAAAAAAAACATTTTGAAGAAAATCACTCGTTCTGTTTCTATGTTTTCAACTACGAAATGTGTGATGAAATAATCGTCAAGATAACTGCATAAAAGATGCGCTGCATTTGAGCCCGAACCTTAGCAACCCTGTGTAACTGCTCGACAAAATGTTCACAAAATCCCCGTTCAAGAAAACGCCAATCAAATCAGAGTAGATCCAAACGTATAAGAAAATGTTATGAGGTAGTTGTTTGGAGGTCCAAATAAATTCAAACGTTTCTGATGAAATAAAAATGTATCATCTAATGAAATCATAAATTTTTTTATTTTCCACGTTGATGTAGTAAATGTTTCTACGCAATCTTTTCGAAGTATGCGCTGAAAATATCCTTGTACATTGTCGGAAAACTAGCTCCTTTGAACAGTTATTATACATTAAGATTGATCCGTCATAAGAACACAATATACTCTAAACAAGGATGTAAATAGTTATACGGAAGTGTTAAAAACGAACGATTTTTATCAATGTAAAACATCTCATGTTGAACTACTGTGAAACATTTAATCTGGTTTTTAGCCCCCTCCTTCTTATTCGGTTACGCGGGCCTTATTCGTGTGGAATGATATATATATATATGTATATATATATATGTATATATATATATATGTATATATATAATCGTTATTCATCGCACAAGCCTCGGAGGTCGGACATTCATTCTGGTTTTTCAGTCACCGGCCAAATGTCGCAACAGGTTGAGGGGCATTCTGATTTTCTGGGTGGAGAGATGTCTGCGAATGTCTCATACCTGCCATTCGGTGTTACTCGATCGTCGGATTTGATTCACTTATACTCCAGATGTTTTGATAAAGCCCATTTAATCAGACTGTCGGCTCATTTGAGACCGAGTGATTTGAGAAACTCCATACCGATAGAGTTTAACAGGCCAAAGACGAGAGTTTTTTTTCACAAAACCGGAGCGTTCATCAGGAGGACGGTGGTGGAGACCAAACACAGATACACTGTGGGTCTGGTTGATCGCTATCAAAAGCATTTGAATATATATAAGAGTATTCGGAGGATTGATCCTCGTAACCAAAGACAGTTGCAGTACGCTTCCACTTCATGTACTGACAAAATGTGAGTCGAGGTAGATTTTGTAACCCATTTTCTTTTTGTCTAAACTTGGAAGTTGTATTCTGCGCATGCCCCACCCCTCTCCCTATCACTGAGGTTTTATCCAGTAAAAATAAGTAGATTTAGATCACTTCAATGATACTGACACACTAAAGTATGCATCAACGTTAAGGTGTCAAGGTTTTGCTTCTCCGGCGCGGAATTTTCATTCGCGGACAATGCCTCTCCTCAGCCATCCGTTCACCACTGAACTCTTTGTCCTGCATGTGAAAGAGTTGATCTCCTAGGAGCTGACTCATATCATCGTCACAGAAACACTACTCAGGCATCGATTCAATAAAGTGAGGGTGAAAATAAACTTCTGCCTTGAAGACGGTGGTTAGAAGAGTTACATATGATCTAGCTATTGCTGCAGAACTGGAAAATTCAATTGTAAGCCAGTTGTTCAACATTATACCATACGGTAACTGCTGATAGAAATGTGATTAGTTTGTCAAACGTTTTGTGTTTGAGTGCATGTGGCCCATCAATTTTGACTAAAGTGGACTTGGCTTGTCGTCCAATTTTACCGGATCAAATGCGTTTATCAAACGTGTTTATTTGCAATTTTCCATTTTAACAGTTTCGCCATTTTTGCTATGTTCTATATCTTCTCAACCCTCGTCCACTTATTGTTATCGTTACTATTGTTGTGGTGTTTGCACCATGATTGTCCCCAAGTCGGTGTTATATATATATTTATATATCCGAAACGCTATAGATTTATATCGTACTCCACGAGAGAGAGATATGGTTCATGGCGCTAGTAATCTTGATTTGGTAACTCATGAGAGTAATTTTGCAACACCGAGTTTGGGAATTGTTTTTCATGGTGGACAACCGGTATATCGTGACTTGATCTGCAATCTTTGATAAAACTTGGCACTGTCTAGAAAATTTTTCTGGATGACAGAAATGGAATCAATAATTTGTAGCTCACCGTTGGAGTTTGTTCGATTATTGATTTATCCGAAGGCATGCAATAAAAAACCCTTTGTGACAAAAATATTATCACGAGAAATCTTTTTAGGGGGCCCATTCCCGGAAACCTATTACGTTTTCCGATTCTTAACAATTCAAGTTATTCTGGGATGTGGCCATTTTAAACAGGGCGCAACTGTTTGATGCTCTTCGTTGACCTTCACTTAAAATATTCCGTTGCATCCGGGACATTTCAGGTTGCGAATAAAGCTACTCATGAGTAGTTCGAGTATGTAAATAGCAGTTTTATTGTCTTTTTTCTAGCATTGCGGATACTATGAACGTACCGGAGGATTATACGTTCGGCTTACCTAACCATTCTGGTGATCTAACTGCTGGACAATTACTACACGGAAGAATTCCACGAGAAATTGCCGGATTACCATTTGAGAGCAGAAAAAACACACGAGAAACGGAGAACAAAGAACATTCGTGCGTGGACACCAAAGACCAACGCACAATGTTACTGCCGATTGTTCACCACGCGCTCCGAAAAGCTCAATTTTGGCGTGGACCAGAAATCACAACCGCTTTATGCCACAGGGCAAATGGAGTGAGTATTTACTCTTTTGGTATGAGGTAGGATTCGTGCGGTACAAAACACACGAGGACCATCAGAAAAGTGCTGTGTAATGCATAGAGCCTTATAATGGAAACATTGTTAGGATTTTACTCGACAGACTCCAACTGCAAATGATTTTTTGTTTTGCTTTCAAAATGTTCTTTCATCTTGTTTTCAAATTTCAAACGAGGCTGAACATCAGCTATGAGGTCATTAAGTCGGTCACAATCGATCGAGTTTTATATCGTGTTTTATACCGCTAAAACTCCTTTCATTCTTAGTTCAAAATTGATTAATATGTTCTCAAATAATGAAAACTTCCACGCTAGCTCTTATAACCGGTGGTTCATTGAAAATGTGGCACTCTTGATACAGTAATTGGAAATGTACATGAATCCAATTGTAGTCTAATACTCCTCTGTAATATTATCGATCCCTGCTCTCTCGATTCCGGTTATTTTGGAATCAACCATACAAGTGTTGCGTTCAACTGATGTGATTGTCAGCAATCAGAATCATGTTATTCAACTTTGTATGTAGTGCATCAGACGAAAAAAAAACGGTCGAGCATATCCAGTGAGATAGGTTACCATGCCAATGCATCTGTCTGAAATGCGGATTAGTAGACAGTGAAATATCAATCAGTTTGACATTCACAGGCTCCGATCACAAGAGCTCTATACTGCACTGAAAGTACATAGTATTGTAGAAAAATGGAATAGATTTTCTCAGTGATTCTTCTAAATACATGGGATCTTTATGTAAACGAAAGAAGATAAATATATCCAAGTGGCTTGATTTTGTCTTCAAACCTATTAGATAGATAGATAGATAGATAGATAGATATACTCCGTAATTAATTTCCCACCTAACGGCTAACAATACAAAATCAAATCACATTTTTCTTCTGTAAAAATCAACTAGGGATAGCATGATAACCGAACAACAATGTCTAACTACAGTATTTTCGTTTTGAACCAAACACAAATTGTTCGCTGAAATATTTAAACGGGAATACGTTTTGGCGATAGACCTAAAATGCTGGATCGATGACAGCATAGCATACACATCCAGAAAAAAGGCGGGATTTGAAGACAGCAATTTGGTTAAAAACACAGGAGGAAAAGATTACAGATGAGGCAATTCAGTAGAGGGNGGGTTTTTGGTTCCTTCCAATGTACACCTCAGATGTAACCTAATGAAAGTGACAAATGACAAACTGTATGTAATCAAACGATCTAAACGAGACGTAAACAATTATTGTAAGGGAACACAAACCAAGTTTTCTCTAATTTTCAAGTTAGTTTTATTAATGTGCGAAGATGTTCTCGTCATCATTTACACCCCAACAGTTGAGTTTCATTTTCAGTTTTTACAACCATTAACTTTGAATTTTCATGAGCCGGTTCTGGTTACCGTTTCGTGACTGCCTATTTGGCAAAGACAGCAGAATGAAGATTAAAATTTCGTGAGCAGAATCAAAGGGAAGATAGAGAATTCACATAGACTGGGGTTGTAAGAATAGCGAGTAGACGCACGAGTGCCACTGTTTGCTGTATGTATTGTATTTCACACACGTCTGACGCCAGACTGTAAGCCAAACAAATCATGGTACAATCATCTTTATAAAAAGGAAAAGCATTCCATGATTTGTATGTGGGCCTAGGTCAAGACATGCAAATTTTCTTGAGAAATTCACAACCGGCGGAGTCTTTGGCTAGCCAATTTCTGACCCGCAAAGCATTGAGGTGGTGTGTGAAAACGGAAATCCATTGGAGGCCGGTATCCACTTCTTCGGATCAAAGGCTTGTGGGAGGGGATCAAACGTCCACAAGGTAAACGTTTCACCTTGATGCCCAAATGGAGCTGGTGTTTACTATAACTGTTTACTACACTCAGCCCTATCACTCTGTGTCTCCAATCATGATGTTGATGTCCCCATACAGGAAGTCTAAAGGGGCCTATGTGACCTAGTCTCCTGGTTGGGATTTTCATACCCTCATGCCAGGTCTTCGTTTGATCTCTCTTAACCATTTTCCAACTGTTACCTGCCTTGGCAAACATTATTCGCCGTGGCAACTTGTTTGATGACATGCAGAACAATAGATTCGGATTGAAATGTAAACACAACATAGAAAAACTCAATGCATCAGAATACAGCAATTTACTTCTTTTATCTATTCATCAGAATATTTCGACGCTCTTCCTGTTACATAATTTATGATGCAGTGCAAAACAAATGGCACTACAACTACAAACCTCACGAATTATCAGTCTACCAGGTATTATCGAAATAAATCGTTTTGTACTCCATAAACCGACTCGTGTATTGATATAATTGCATGAGTTTTGGTGCGCTTCCTGATTTGCACCAGTTCCAAAGCTAAGCAGTAGTGTTATTAAATTACCAATTGACATAAGAGTGCAACAACTTTCCGCAATGAAACTTCTCTACGTGAGTCTAGTTCTAGGTTTTCGGCACGAGCGGACTAATCAGGAAACACAACGCTCATGACATCGCCTTAGTGCGTTACAAAATTCAGACAGTCTAACTTACCTTAAACCATTTAACTGGTGATATATTCAGATAGGGTATGCATTTTACATCACTGAAGTAAAGTGAGCTCGTTAAAGAGTGGTAGAAGCTTGTGCGAGCACTCATTCTTCGTGCATATCAGCTGAGAGTAGTTGAGAGCTTCAAGCACCTGAAAGGCTTGATTGCAGCTACAGGTGGTGTTGAATAGTACAAGTTACAGGAGCTTTAACCAACCTGAGACACATGCGAAGACGCCACGAAGTCAGACTGTCACTTAAGGGAAGGGTGTACATCGTCGTGCTTTGTGGAGTTGTGTTTTCTAATTGTACGATCTCAGCAAGCGACCACCACTGTCTCCAAAGAATTACCTACGTCTGATGGGAACATTGAGTGAGTAATGACAAAATTCTTTGTTGTGTGTTTGATGCGCATAATTCTTCTCTGGAAAAAGAAGTAATCGCTCTACACCGCCTCCGGTGACTTGGTCAGGTTTTGTGTATGCCTGCTCATTGTCTACCACTCCGTGCTCTTTTTGCACAAGCTAGATAAGACATGAAAGAATCGTCCCGGCGATCAGACCATGACATGAAGTAGAGGTGAGAAGAAGTTAGCTTCAGATTTGGTTTCAGGTTTGTGCGGCCTTCCAAGTGGGGATCAAGTGATGAGGATTGTCTTTGATTAGTGAGAGATGGCTCAGAAAAGATGTCTCAAGTCGAAGATATAACTTTACAGCAATTTTTATCAAAAGCAAATGGACCATAAATGCTGTACAGTATACCTTTTGACAATTTGGTTTCACAATTCAATATAAATGTTTGCTTATCATTTAATTCTGTTCTATACCACAATCCGCTCCTGCTTAGTTATTGTTTTGTGTTGTTGTTGCGTTAAATGTATCGACTCAATGCTACATTTTTCAGTAGTAAATATTTACGATTTGCTTACTAGGCAGATAACGTTGGTGTGATTGGTTTCCGTAGAGTCCGAACTCAGAGAAGTGGGAATGAATAAATGATAAAAAATATCCGTAAAATATTCGTATCTACCTAACATGCCAGGACAAGGAAAATTATCATTTACCCGGACGAAACAGGATTCAATGATCAGGCTCACTTTCCCAACAGTCATTTAGTTGAGAGTGCAAAATAGTACGAAGATAAAACAACAACAAAATCACATTAACTCATCACTCGGTTGGATCGGAATGTTAGATCGGGTGTACACGGAGATTTCATTTGCGGTTTTACAAACATAGACCGAGCAAAATTTTTACGCCGGTTTTGGTCACTGTTTCATGCTTGCCAATGTGGATAAAAGATCAGAGAGAGACAGAGGATTGGAATGTTGCGAGTAGAGTCAAAAAGTAGATGTAGAATTCGTACAAGCCGGGGTTGCAAGAATAATGAATTGAAGCAAGCATGTCACTATTTATGACACTCAGACATATCACTCAGTATTTCTAATCACCTGTTACCATACAGGGAGTCTAACGCAATCTATATATGTCTGAGAGTTCTCAGTTAATGTTTTTATATCTCCCTATATCAGGTCTTCGTTTGACCACCCTTGAGACTTTTGTAACCACTACTTGCCTCGGAAAACAGAACGCTCCGTGAAGTGCGTAACCCCTATCCCAATCATCATAGTCTATGCAGGTCGACCACGTGTTCCGGTGAACCGCCGCGATTCTCGGAAACTCTGCGCCTAATTTCAGCATTGCGTGTTCAGTTTCCCGACCAAACTCAAAGTCAAAGTCAAAGATTTATTATGGGCATTACTAACAAGCAGATTCTTTTCTTGTCCCATAGGGTGTTTACACGAATTGAACTGTAACAATGATGAATAAATTTCCATATGCTGTATTCGGCTGTATCATGTATGCTCTTTGAAGGAATCAATCATCTTGGCACAAACGGCATGAGATGGTAAGGAATTCCAGTCAGTGCACACTCTGACGACGAAGAAATGACGTCGACAGTCCAAACGAGATTTTTGGTGTACTAATTTGACTGGATGTCCCCGTTGACGAAAGTTTGAGGACAACATCAAAATGGGTGACAAGGGTAGTTTGGTTTGTGTAATATTTGGTACACTAAAATCAAGTCTACTCGAAGCCGACGATAGTGAGCAGAGTATAGACTCAATGCCTGCAGTCTCACCATGTATGAATCATAACACAGTCCTGTGACCATCTTCGTGGCGAGCCTTTGTAGGCGCTCCAAAATCTTACGGTCACGTTGTAACCATGGCTTCCAGGTTTAAATGGCGCACTGAATATGCTGCCGGATGCCTGCTGACAGCAGATGTGGAAATAAAGACGGTTCTAGAGGACAAAAACACGTTTAAGTAGACCAATATGTTTGAGCACTGTGGATGACGCCCAGTCACAGTTATTAGAATATCTCAGGTCTTAGTAAACTATAACACCCAGGTCCTTCTCTGTTGGTCGTTTCCAAGGAAATAAGGAAACCAAACATGGTGGCGTAGCAAAATCATCTTGAATTTGGAGATGTTAAATTGGATGCCGTTCTCAATAGACCATTTGTGAGCTGCATTCAATGTTTTTTGGATTTCCAACGAACCCTCACTTTCTGTCACTGTCTTCCAGATTTTGACGTCGTCTGCAAACAATAATGTTTGTGGTCCTAGAACATTCGGTAAGTCGTTTTTGAGCCAGAGAAAAGTCGGAGACCAAGCACAGAATCCTGGGGGTAGTATTTCGTGGTTCAACCGATCGAATGCTTTGGAGAAGTCCAGGTAAACCACATCAGCTACATCGTCCTTATCTACTTCCTTTGTCCATTCATCGCGGGCTAGGAGCAGATTGGTAGCACCTGATCTCTTTTAGCAGAGTCCATCCTGATCTGGAAAAAGTATTTTGTAACTTCCTAAGTGTTCCATCAAGAAACCCGCTACGATGGATTCCATGACTTTGGATAGAACGGGTAGGAGTGTCACCGGGCGGTAGTTGGCAGGATCACTACGACAACCACCTCTGTCAATTGGAGAAATTATGCCTTGTTTCCACGACTGGGGCAGCACGGTTGCGTCAGACATCCTTTGGAAAAGAAAAGTTAGCGGCTCAGATATGTGATGCAATGCGGTGTAGACAGCGGTGTTTGAACAACGATAATCTATTTTTATCCTGTAATGGACAAGTCTTTACACCGTAAAGCAAGACTCGCCTAACTGCTGCAGCATATACTTCACCCTTCGTAGGCAGCCAGATGTTGCGACAGCGTCACAGATGTCTTAAGTTGTTAAAGTCTAATAAATTCTTCTGTGTGCGTACCGTAATCTGTTCGCCGGGTTGGATGCAGTTGTTCACGTGGGAATATGTCTTCACTGGATTGAGGTGAGGGGTAAGAGGAAAGTTACCTAGTCGAGGAGTTTTATTGCAAGTAAACAGGTACCAACTTTCACATGATACCTGAAATCACGCGGTCGTTTGAGCCAGTAGCATACATATATATTTATATGTATATATATTCGTCTGTTTACAGACCGATCAAGACTAAGTCGTTCAATTATTTGACCCTTTTGAACCCTTTTTTGGACTAAATTGAACCCAGGCAGTGGCGGTTGGTTGTATTGATTACGCTTTCGTATCTTCAAAGAAAATGAGGAGATTAGACGAAATGATACGAGCTGAATACATACAAACACACACACAAATGTGAACCGCATGATCAACACTAATTTAGGCATCTAGAAGTACATACAATCCGATATTGGAAAGCTTACTGAACTCATCCGGTGATATATAACACCAGAAGAGCTAAGGACACTTGTTTGATCGAACACACGCACAGTTCATTTCCTAATAATGAAGCCTCCTAATTCGTGTTTGTAGTCTGAACGGCTAATGAACTCATTTGGTTAAACGCAACCAATCACAATAAGAAAACCTATAACATCCTGTGTGAGCCTACAAGTGGAGCAGATAGTGTACCGTGTCGAATGTGAGCTTTTGATAACGAAAGTATCCAATCTGTGGTGCACAGGCATATTGATAACTGGAATTCATCATTTTTCATCCGGATTCTTTCACCATGATCAGACGGTTGATTTTATCGCCCGAAAACCATTTAGCTCCTCTATCTATCTATTTATCCATGCCTAGTTCTGTTTTTGCAAGGTTGCAACTGGGACACAAAGCATACAAATTACCCTTTTCCCCCCCGGAAACAGATAGCCTTATCATATAAATACAAAACCTTATTGTGATCAGGAAATGAGGCTTTTATTCATTCCTCGCCTTTACAACTGCCGAGAGTGAGGACACAAAGGGAACTGTACCTATAAACGGGTATTTGTGTGAGTGTGTGTGCGTGAGAGAGAGAGAAAGAGGGTATAGGTATACGTAAAATATATGTTAGCAATCTTCACACGATTGTGTTTCACGTAGTTTAAAAAAATTGTAATTTATTGTCATTGACTTTCTCGGAGAGACAGAAATTATTGTACAAACGCGGTACTATTGGTAGATTGCTGATGCATCTCGAGTTGTTTCAACTTGTATATCACGCATGAGCATTTCATTTTTATACGGTCATTATTTAAACAACATTACAGTCAATCTTCTGCTAGGTCGCACCCCTAGGGAATTCTAAAAAAGTGGATAAATTTCAGGAACTGCGACATAGCATGTTGGTCAGTAGTAGATGCTATTCAGTAGTATGAAAAATCAATTGGGTTTTATTATTTTAAAATAACCGAATCGATGAAATTTCGTTAACTCCGTTGCTTCTCCCATGTTTATAATATTGTACTGTTTAGTAATAACAGAATTTAGACATACCGTCCTGCGTATCCTTTATGTATTGAAGAAATTAAAATTTTTCATGACGTTTGCAGCTTTATATCGGTTCATTGAATACGGTATTCAGCTCTTTTTCAGTTTTCAGTGTCTAGTTATCCCAAAACAACCTAGATTTCTGAAGGGGAATTTCTTCTAATCCAATTAGTGCCTATTAATTCCAGATATTTTTCCATTCCTTCACAATGTTAGGCTAACCCCAAAATTGATTATATGACGTCCACCATGAGATACAACTGTTTTGGCTATAATAATCACATCCGTATCAATCCATTCAAGGAAAACAAAGGTGAAACTGTTCAAATACAGTGAGAATAAAAATCGTATTCGAATCAAATAACATCATATAAAACGAGTGAAATATCTGTTACGGGCTATACTCAGAACATTGACTTGTTCTTCATATTCCAAACTGATTGTTCACTGTGCAATATATTCATGATTTTCTAGCGAAAAATGAGTACCGTTAGCGTCTGTGGACATCTATTCGTTCGTTCGCTTTTGCTGTTACCAGTGCATGTTCAAACCGATTGATACATTGGTCATGTTCGTTGGAAAAGGTGACTTCTCAGGAAATGAACTGTAGTAACATTGACCGCAATTGTTGTTTGGTTGATTGTTTTGTCGAAAAGCAGATTAATGATAACCACTGCCTTGAGGACAGAAGAACCGTTCAGCAAAATAAAACCTGTTAAATAGAAGACAGCTTCAGTGCTGTTTTGATTTATCCTTCAAACTACCTTCTGATTTCATACCCCACTGACTGCTTATCGAAAACAGACCGTTCCTAAAAACTATGCATATCAATAATGCAGTAGGCCCCCCCAAACAGTCTGTCTTCATGCAGGCTCAAACATGGCCATAATTCACCTACAGAGGTTCTCGTTTCTCTATGACTAAATCGATATACACACACGATCAGCCTCCTGATTCCCGGAAACCTTTCACCATTGTCCCCTTTCATAAATATTCTTCATTTACTATTTTGCCCATTGTGAATTCTTCTTCCGGACTTCAACTGGCAGAGTGCGCTATTCTAACCCGTTTACAGTCTGGTATTAATTTTTTTCCAATGATCTCCTTTCGTTTGCGTGTTGGTCAATCGGATTTGTACGTTGAAGGTTGTCTATTCATTGCTAAATCTTTAAACGGTACCGGAAAATCCGTTCGTTGAATCTTCTTTGATTAATTACGTATCCACTTTTTGATTCCATCCCACGTTCTCTTCTGTTTGGACAAAAAGTCGAGTCTCTTCAAAATGTTTTAAATACATTTTCAGTCTTTCACTGGCTGATTCTCCCTTGGAACTGTCACTCACCACTTGCGTACCCCGGTTACCAGAACACAAGAACAAATACGTGAGAGTTACCATAGGGGGAAATCTACGGTTTTAATGTCTTTTTCACTATCTTTTTACTTCCTTTTTGTATTTATTGAATATACAAATGTACAGTCAACTTTCAGGAAGGGGGCTGCAGCCATACAAAGGCTGCCTGGGGAAAATACAGATATATCGGGAAGACGGGCGGTGGCGGTGGAGCGGTTTGAACCCGGGACACCCAGGTCACTAGTTGGTGACCTAACCTCTTTGGTTACCATTGTCCTTCCAAGTACAAGTCTTACTTATCCTTCCATGTTAGTATGTATATTTTCACGAAATAAAACGAAAGTATTTTCAGGATAAATTTATTTCGTCTAACCGCATCAATTCCTTATTTACTGCATGCTTTAATCAAACTATCTCATTTAACTATAGGCTGATCTTATCTCTATGACTGAGGCACGAGCCTTGTTCTATCACTTTGAAGTCCCCTTGGACGAGGAATTGACCGAACTGATGTTTGACGCCGTCGCTGTAGTTGCACCACCGAAGATGATTGAAACTGTTCGCAAGCAACAGCTGGAGCGGATCCCATCCAATGTGATTCTCGAAAAGGTTCAACCGGATTCCGAATGGATTGAATGGGCGGTGGATTGGCGACTGATGGCCGCATTTTTGGACTGGAAACGTCAAACAGACAGTGTGGAACAGATCAAATTGAAGAATTGTGGCTGTGCCTGGGAAAAGCCACAAAAACCTGAACGTTTTGAACGTGAGTTGTAGCGGAACGGAAAAAAAAATTTATCCCTGTATTTCTCTCGACCCTGTTTCACGAATAGATTGCGCATATGAAATCCGCATATGTGATTGGCTGTTTTGGGGAACGAGTTGCTCCGATCACTGAAAGCTTTCAATCTTTTTCTTTTCATTTAATTTTTCTTTTCTTTTCTTTTTGCTTTTTATTGAATATACAAGTTACAGTTTTCAGCTAGGGGAAGGTGGCTAATCAAAGGGCTACCATTCAACACAAATTCATCACAAATTCAGGCGATATTGGTGGCATTCAAACACATTCCCGGGGTGATAACTTGGTGATATTACCGTCGGGCCACCCAAAAAAATATTGATCACATAGATAATTTAGATCACTGTAAGCAAAATACTATTTGTTTTCCTATGGATGAGTATGCTACTCTTGCTTTTTCCCCAAAACGGGAGAGGACAACCGGCAAACCGTACACCAATCTCACTTTTACTCCCTCTCTCTCTCTCTCACACACACACACACCGAATTGATATAAACGTTGATTCAATTTGAGCCACATCTGGTTTCTAGCATTTCTAATGAGGTAGAATTGTTAAACGAACAAAACAAAATACATGACTGATTTTGTTGCACTGGGAATAGGAAATATCAGTTTCATTTTACTGTGTAATAACATTCACAAAAATAACCACGTTTAGTCAACCTTCATTTTGCATTTAACTCACAGTTACTTGTGAATAGTGGTGTGGGATAATTGATATTGATTTGAGTAGACAGACAATCGTTTTAACTTCATCTCCACGCATAATCTCCTTACTTTATGCTGTCAACCATACACTCGGGCGCACTAGGCTTGAGTTTCGTTCTTATTAGAGCTCATCAGTAATGCATATCTACTGTCTCGTCCGGGCTTGGGACCCTGGATTCATCGCACAGAAGAAAAGTGTGCTACGACTGTACCAGCCATTTCATTTTGGGACTGAACCTCATTGCCAATTCCCGTTTGTTCCGGGTGTTATCTTCAGTGATAGTTCATCAGTTTTAACCTAACAGTAACGAAGAGAGACACAGTTGACTTTCTGTTAACTCCAATCAAAAGCCGCCTACTAAATCAGGTGGTCCATGCAAGTTACGGGTTAACTTGCCAGACACCTACTAGGCTGGATGGGCAATTCGCATTTAACTGACAGTTACTTGTGAGTGCTTTCGATTCTGTGGTTGACTGGATGAGCTGAGGATTGTGAGTGAATGTGAAGTCTGAGGGATAACCAGCTCAAATCAAAACCTTGAGCTTATCCCGGACAGATCAAGAGGAATCGAGTCAATGATTTATACACTAGAAAAAGTTAGGATCCAGCCACCACACTGCTAATACGATGGGAATAAACAATAACATGAATACATGGAAGAATAATGTGATGTAAGTTTTGAAGTCCCGCACAATCGGGAGTGTGTATACGTGCACGTGTGTGAATAATTGTAGAACACAGTTTTCAGATGTTTTTTTTATTCACTGAAAAACTGAAGCAAACCTTTCCCGAGATCAATTTCAAAAGAAAAAAACCGTATTACAATACTGTAAGGTTTATGTGCCCAAGACGATTTTCCTGCATCTCAACATGGTGCAAACTGCAGAAAAAAACAGTATTTATACAGAGCTTTAGGATGGCAACAGAGTAAAGCAAAATACATTAAAACCAACCATACATAAAGTATGGGAGGGGGTAAAGGGACCATATCCCCTACGTAGGGACTATTATTATCATTATTATTATTAATATTATTATATTTCACGCTCGTCCGAAACCTGACTGTGCGCCAAACGAATTATGGTACAATAATCCTAATAGAAAGAAAAATATTCCACGCTTTGTACGTGGGTTGGGACAAACGAATATAAAGTTTTTTTGACGCAGAAAGGGGCTCCATCGAATAATAGCAATCGCTTCAGAAAATATTAGCAGTCTTGCGACTGGTGACTTGAAGACATGTGCGAAATGGAGGATTTGATTAAATTTCAAATGGGAATTCGTCGTGTATTTAGCAAATGAGGCATGAACTGACAAGCTAGGAAGCACTGGAAAGCTGTTTCGACCTGCTTGGGTCTCATCAGCAGTGCGAATCCACCGACCCAACTGGGGATCGAACCCGGGACCTCACAGGAAGAGGTCTCGGGTTCGATCCCCAGTTGGATCGGTGGATTCGCACTGCTGATGAGACCCAAACAGGTCGAAATAGCTGTCTAGTGCTTTCTAGCTTTTCAGTTTACGCTTCATTTGCTATATACAGGACGAATTCACTTTTGAAATTGAATCAAATCCTCCATTACTCACTGTATATGATTCTACAAAGATAGATTGACCGGTTGCAGTCCCTTTTGCAGAAATGGACTGTTGGATACCGAGCCGAAAAATCGGGTCGTTGCTGTCAATGGGTCCCCGCGAAGTACCAAGAGCACTGTTGGATCGTGAGGTTGAGCTCATTTATGTTTTATCTTCTCGGCTTCCTTCTTGTGTCAGTAGCAGTGTGTTTTGGTGATAGTTCGTTTGACCTTATTTTAATGCACAAAGTTTTGTTACATGGCGCAATAACTGTCATAAGCTTCATACAACCGATAATATATAATGATGTTCAACTTACAATGGTCAAATAGATGCGTTCGAAAGCACATTGCACAATCTCTATGGCATCTTTGATGAGGTTGGCTTTTCCCCCGCGTTCCAAACATTCCAGCTGGTATCGTTCGCCGGAGGCCAGTAACTTTAGTTTGGATAACAATGTGTTGTTGCCCTGAGAAGTTATTCAGGAAACAGGTGAGTGGAATGTTAGGCCCGGAGTATTTCACAAAATGCGTTCTGTACTCTCAAACGGACACAGAAAATTGCAGTGTTGTTCACAGCAGTTTTCGACATCTATCGGGTATTTTGTTAACTAATAAAAGGTGAAACGTTGGTAGACATATGCGTTCAATGACCTATTTGGCTTTCGAAAAAAACTTCGTTCGTCTGATGCAAACGTTTGGGTTCAGATGTGTTCATAAAATAGCTTAACCAAAGCGGTGACATATTTGTTTGTAGGTCAGAGCAGTCAAGGTATATAGGTATTCGTATACAAGTCTTTTATAGGTGCCACTTCTTAAAAACGAGACTCAAAGATATTTTCAAATGTACACAGTATGAGAGAAACCACTTTTCTTCGCCTAATGGTCTTATCCTGTATCATTCACCACATTGCTAGATGCCAATTACATTTTGCTTCTTCAGTTGATGTTTCTCGTTCACATCATGTGCTAAGACATAGTTTCCAGTGCATCTTATGCAACATCCCCCTTAGCTCTGTCATTAACTGGCAACATTCAACCACATTATAATCAGTGCACCCCCTCGCTCCAAGGTTGTTTCATTTGACCTTTCATCTCTTATATACTGTCTCTAACTCTACCACTGACCATCACTGGTCTTCCTACACTGGCGTACTGTGCTTGTTCACCTCTGTAATTCTTAACAACTGAGGTGCAACCGGCCACCTAGATGTGTGCACTATAATTGCTATATTTATGTAAAGATGTAATGTAAAATATCGATCCAAAATGTCTTCGTTGGAACGCCTTTTCTACACTGTCCTAGGGTATTTTCTGCATAGTAAAATTATTTCGAGAGGAGAGGGATAGGTTACCTCGCTCTCCAGAGCTTTAATGGAGTGCTCCTCAGAATATCCAACCTTCGCGTCTTCCATCAAATTTCAGTGAATTTTGCGGATGTAAACACCTGGGGTGCCTTGATATAGGAAAAACAGCTTTACGGTGCTTTTTAAGACATTTCAGTTTTGCGTGGTAAGTTGACTCTGCCACTCATTGTATCTTGAATCAAATTAAATTAACCATTTCACCCACAGAACCATAGTCACGAAGAGAATTGGTAAATGAAATCATTTATGAAAAATTTGACCTACATCAACAAGAGGTACGCGTCCCTTATCCAATCTCTCTACCCAGCTGTATCAATTCAAAGAGAAATTTCATGAATTCTTTCTCATTCGGACACTAATAAAACTGATTGGGCAAACAGTATTCGAGGAATGAGTCGTTTCAAACTGGTTGACTTGTTCGGTCACATGTCGTGATGACTTACCTGAAGCAAATACGCTTCGGCTGTTTTCAAGATCATCTTCAATGTGATTGAAAATTGCTGCTCGCCTGAAATCGAGAAGAACTTCTGTGAAGGGCAAAGAATGCGGGGTAGGATAAAGAGGATTGGTTCTCGATCAGGATTGAAGCAAGAATGCACACAGAAACCTAAATTCATTGAAACGGTGATTTAAGTGGTGAAAGTCTTACTTGCAAGCATAGTATATACACTTGAACAGCGAATAACTGATAGTGCGGTTCACTGCATCTATGCATGATGTTGAAGGACTCAGTTATGAATGCCCTCTACCTGCTTGGTTAACACCCCGTTATGAATTAAATGGGGTGCGCATTCATCATAGCATGAGGTGATAAGTCACTTTCAGATCCATACTGCACAAAAAGTGACTATTGACATACATTTCAGGCAGAGCACAGGTTCGCTGTGGTCAAAAGCGGAGCACTTTAGTATATCCTTTTGAGTCTATATCTTGTTAGCTTTCTCCGCTGCCTAGCAACCCCAATTTTCAACCAATTTTCATAAAACAAAGGCTTGTCTGGTTAACAGTTCACTATGCCAACCTGTAAAAGTTTCCTCAGCATAAACAAACAAAGTAATCAAATGATTGGTACAGGTCGTGCCCCGCAACATTCATACAAGCCAAGTGCAGTAGGATACTTTTGAGACAACTTGGCAGTTAGTTATTTCATAAACTGTTTGCTTTTAAGTCCTGTAAACTAGCCTGCGATAAATTCAATATTTTATGCAGCATAGTGTGATTGCAGTGATTAAACATCATTGTATACTGACTATAGAATTTAGCCTCTAAAGACGCTCGTGGAATACACAGATCCCCACACCAAAAAATGCACTTTTATCGACCAGTGCTCGTTGGATAAGCCCTAAATTGTAAACAAAGCGGTCAGGCGTTTCACAGTGCGACAACTGTTCAAAATCGTAAAACTAAATTTGACTACTATCAATAAGTAGTATACTTGAATTGGTTTAGTGAAAGTCCCTGCAGATGCGTAAATACGAATTGGTGCACTCACATTAGTGATTCGTTGCCGAATGAGATAGGCGAATATTTCAATATAACCAAGAATACGCAGCTTCTTTCCTTTATCTATGTTTATAAAGGAATGGCAATTAATGGGAAACAAAACCACTGACCGAATCGAGCCACCGAGGACGCTTTGGGCACTGCGGCCGGTTTTGGACGCTGGGCTATTAAGAAGACAACACAAAGATTAGGTTTGAAGTGA